TTCTGTCAGTGTATGTGTGTCAGTATGTTGATCAGTGTATGTGTCTGTGTGTGTCAGTATGTCGGTATATGTGTCTGTGTGTCAGTATGTCTGTATATGTGCCTGTGTCAATATGTCTGTATATGTGCCTGTGTCAGTATGTCTGTCAGTACGTCTACCAGTGTATGTGTCTGTGTGTGTGTCAATATATGTACCTGTGTCAGTGTGTCTGTCAGTGTATGTGCCTGTTTATCTGTATGTAGTCAGTGTATGTATCTGTGTATCTGCTTGTGCGTCAGAGTGTGTACCTGTGCATCTGAGCCGCAACTTTAAATACAAATACACCCCTCCATTCAAACTTCAACACTACATATAAAACACACTCCTGCATTGAAACGTCAACACTACATACAAGCACACTCCTACATTCAAAAACAAACACTACACATAAATGCACACTTGCATTCAAACTCCAGTACCACATACAAACACATTCACACAAACATACTCCATACAAACACATGCTTACATTCAAACATACTAACATGGCTCAGTGCTAAATACAACCCTGCAAGCATGAGAAATTGGTAGAGTCCCAGCTGTCAAAGCATTGTTGGAGTTGCACGACAGATGGGGTTCTACCTTTAGTCCAACCTTGCAATTGGGGGTCCCAATAAAATTCATTCTACTTTAGTACCACCACTGCGTTGGGATGGATGCCATGATTGCATACCAGGGAGTGAGGGGCGAGAGCGGCAGGGCACAGGGGGCCCAAGCAAACACTTGCCCAGGGTCCATTCGTTATTAAAGACGGCCCTGCATACACACACAAAAAAATGCACACTATATTTCAGTAAAGGTTTCAGCAATTTCTTGCGCTGTTGAGCTAATAAATGTTCAGAGAATTTTTCCCGAACATATATTCGTGGGATTCCCTACGCTAGTGAACTGGTCTATGTTTGGGGGAATTCCCCCGAACGTAGACCTGCTCTCTTGGACATGCTTGCTAGCGCATCCTCACTTACCGACCAATTATTTTTACGACCGGGTCGTAAGAAAGGAACCCATTTGGTAAGTGAGGAGTGTCTGTACAGATAAAATCATCATCATAATAATAATGAACAGATGCTGTTACAATTCTGATCAATACATATAGATATACCGCATTTCACTGCATAATAGTAGCCAACACATAATAATAGCACCCTTTTTTTCTCAGTCCAGAAATTGGTTCAAATTCAATTCACCACGTAATAGTCACATAATTGACCATTGTTGTTTTTGTTGTGAGACATTCTTATTCCTGAAAACTAATGGCAAACATCCTACTGATCTTATACTGCAGAGAGCGTTTTTTACCTATCCGTTTAATGTGTTTTAGTACATTTTATCTATGTAATGCATTAAGACATGACAAGAGGACAGGGATCAGGATCAGAGTTTACGTAATGCATTATAAAGTATGCTATGTTTTGTTATCAGCAACTGTAATGTTATCAGCAACTGTTAAAAATCTGTTTAAAAAAAAAATATCTTTGCATAATGGTAACATATATTATCGCAAAAAAATAAAGCTTTGCATAACGGTAGCACACCGCGTAATGGTCGCACCCCCATTTTAAAGAAAAGGAATTAGGCATAAAATCTGTGACCATTATACGGTAATAAACAATAGATTTTACTGCAGTGTTACAAATGAAGGACGATGGCTGAAATAAGAATACCTCCCAGGGGCGTGGCTGAGCATGCGACAGGACATGCAGTAGCAGAGCTCCGCTCCTCCTGGACATTAAAAGCTATAATCCAGTGACCACCTCTCTGAAAATGGTCCGAAACAAGAAACCCCACACCCTGTGTGGCACCCCGCACCACCATACCAGCACGCTAGCCGAATTTGTGTGCACCCCGAGCGCACAGAGCAGCCATCGACCGCCAGACAATATGGCGCCCGGCTCCCCGAGCAATGAAAGCGCGGGAGATCCCTCACTAGACAGCACTCAGGATGACACGCTGGTGCTGATCAGACAGGAGCTGTCCATGATATCAACGCAGATGCTTACCAAAGCCGACACGGGGGGACTCCCAAGAGAACTCCGGGCGGCAATCAAAGAGGAAATCACGGCCCTGCGGGCAGACTTAACGGCTATGGAAGTGAGAGTGGAAGCACTTGAAATGGAGGCCCAAGCGAGCTGTTCACAACACCAAGCCGCTGAACAAGCCACCACGCGTCAGGAGAACCTGCTCCTCTATCTCCGACGCCAGGTTGAAGATTTGGAAAACCGGAGCCGAAGACAAAATATTCAGATTAGAGGCTTACCTGAACCCAACACTGCACCCTTGCAAGAAACCCTGAAGTTTCTCTTCTGGCAGATCCTAGGCCAGGAGTGCCTGGCGGAGATTCAACTGGACCGGGCGCATAGGGCACTGGGACCGCAGAGACTGGATGGCAGGCCACGAGACATCCTGTGCTGCTTCCACGCCTATAGCCTTAAGGAAAGACTGATGACAGCAGCCCGGGACTCGGAAAGCATACACTTCAGAGGAGTGGATGTGGCCCTATTCCAGGACCTCTCTGGCCTCACTCTGGATGCCAGGTGAGCACTCCGGCCCCTAACGACAACCCTGCGAGACAAAGGTATTACATACTGGTGGGGATCTTCCCCAAGCCTAGAGTCCTTTAAGAGATCCCTCTCTACATACCTCAAAACAGAATGCACATGTCATGGGTGATTATATATTTCCTACCTGTTCTATGGTAAATTTTGTATATATTATGTATAAATATTGTTTTTGTATTGTATTTGTATTTTATTGTACCCTAATGTAACAATGCAATGTTTTGTGGACCCAGGACATACTTGAAAACGAGAGAAATCTCAATGTATCTTTCCTGGTAAAATATTTTATAAATAAATCATAACTTACACATATACCCAGACCTGTCTCCCTCTACACTGGGATTTTGCAGAGCCCTTAAGCCGCTTACCGCAAAGTATAAAGTACACATGAATAATATCCACTGAGCATTATCTTCTATACTTTGTGTGCCAGAACACCAATAAATGTGGGACTTTCCTACTGGTTTTATTTTCTTGCAAAAAAACATTGATTTACAAAAACAAAACAAAAACCTTAGCTACACCCCTACATTGTAAGTGTAAGTCACATGCAGGGAGGTGTGACTAGGATTGTATAAACAAAGTGTTTAAACTCTTAAATGGTAGAGAATTGAGCAGTGAGACTTTAGAGGCATGATCTATACACTAAAACTGATTCATTAAACTAAAGTTCTTTTGGTGACTCTAGTGTCCCTTTAATACAAATTTAAAAGTATCATATGGGAAAAGGTAAACACAAGTTAAAGGTGATTTTTATTATTTTACACAAGGGTGTAATTTTCAGAGAAATTACATTTCAGGTGATTTATTTAGTACTTCACAAAGAAGTTTGAGCCCAATGGGAGAGAACTCTTTATTCTATTGCATACTGTCCAGAGGTGTAAGATCTCTCCTTGGAAGTGTAAACACAAGGATGCCAGCTTTCTCGTCTTTACACTGCTCAAGTAAGACCTGTTAACTGCAAGGATTCTTTTTTTTTTTTTTTTAACAAGGTTCAAACGACTTTTTTCTTGTCTTAAAGTTTTTATCCTGATTTAATCAAACATATTTTCCTCCGTAGTTTTTTTTTATCTAAATATCTGCTTTTGTAGTTTACATTTATTTGCTGTGTTTTACTTTAATTTCTATTTCTCTGCCATAATCATCTGTTTTCTGACCTTACAATTTCCAACAAAATTAAAACCATTAAGTACCAAGTGCACAACCCTTTGATTTATTAGAATAGCATAGTTGTTTTTGAAAACGGAAATCTCAAGGATTTTTTCCCATCAAGCATTAATCAGAATGTGTCTGACTATGTAATGTCAACTAAGGATACATTTTTTAACAATCTTTATTTTCAGTTTTAGATCAATACAAGAAGGTTTACTCAGTTACAGTGAAATAAGTTACAGTATAGTTAGTACAGTCAACTAAATGTTGTCAGATTGGCAGCTATTTTGCTGCTTAGCATATTTGTATTTCCATTTTGTATATTCAATTTATGAACAAACTGGTGATATATACAAAGGTATTCCAAATTTGAAATATACAAAGGTTGCAAGATATACTGGCTTGATACTTCAAAAAGTAATATGAGAAATAAAATATTACTAGCTCTGGCAGAATCAACCTCTCAGTTCACAAGAAACACACACACTCTTGTTCTCTCACTCTCTCTCTCGCTCTCTCTCTCTCTCTCTCTCTCGAAGATGTGAGCTCTTTGTATGTTTTATACAAGCATTGCTCAAGAAATACTAACTAAAAACACACACACACATACATACACACATTCACACATAATCACAGAAATACACACACACAATCATAGACACAAGAGGTCCACCCAGGCCCCAGTGTGGCCATGACTCCAGGTTGAACTGTGGCAGGCCGTCCCTGTACCTTTAATAAATCTGGAGTGCGGGGCCCTATTTGTGTATCTATCTCTAATCTCTAATCTCTATGGCCAGGGAGTGTAATCTTATACCTCCAGCAGGTCCTCAACACTCGCGAGAGCATTGCCAAGAGCTTTGCTAAGGTAATCCACAGCAATGCTTTTACGGCTCACGTAAGAGAAGACCTGCTGCTGCTGGAGGTGTAAGATTACACTCCTGGGCCGCCTCTTCATTATCCTCTAGCTCCATTAGACCACCAGGAAATCTAGTATGCCCCTTCCCAGCCCATAGGTAAAAGGCAGAGGTGGGAATAAACATAGTTAAAAAAAATAAAAAATTAAGTGTTCACCTTAACATTAAACTTAACACTAGAAACACACACTACAACACCACAGACACTGCATACACAACACACACTGCATCCACTATACACATTATCTCTGAATCACACAAACTGCATCAACTATACACACACAAACACACACTCTGCATCCACTATACACACTCTCTCTGCATCCACTATACACACTCTCTCTGCATCCACTATACACACACAGACGCACAAACTGCATCCACTATACACACACAAACACAAAAACTGCATCCACTATACACACACAAACAACACACACTCTGCATCCACTACTCTGCATCCACTATACACACACACACACACACACATTCTGCATCCACTATACACACTCTCTCTGCATCCACTATACACACACAGACACACAAACTGCATCCACTATACACACAAACACACACTCTGCATCCACTATACACACACACACACACACTCTGCATCCACTATAACCACACACCATTCACTAGTATATACAAATACTACATCCACTATAAAAGCACACACACTGTAGCCACTATACACACACGCGCGCACACTCTGCATCCACTATACACACAGATGCAATGCATTCACTACACACACTATATACAATACACACAGACATTATACACACTGCACACATGACATCCACTGCACAAATACAGACGCTGCATCCACTATACAAACACAGAAAAACACATACACAATGCATCCACTACAGAGACGCTGCACTCACTACACACACTGCATAACATAATGGATGTGGGTTTGTTTTGGTGGGTGTGGTTTTGTGGTAGTGGTGGGGGGGCAGCATTTTATCCTTGGACCCAGGAAGCACAATGTCTTGGGCCGCACCTGGGGTTCACCCAGCTTCCCTACCTTTCTACTCCTTACTGCATCATGGTAACATAATTATTGGAATAGGAGGTGCATACCAGTGTGTTAATTAAAAATATAAGGTATAAGGTTCCGACACAATGTCATTCAATATTATCAAACATTAACTCTTGTTATAAGGATGCACACAAGAAAAGTGAGTTACCTCCACTAGAAGAGCCATTTAAAGGATCATCGAATAGTATAGAACTGGGTTAAATTATTAAACCTGCAATGGGGCTTTACTTAATGTCTTAAATGCCAGCTTTACAATCTATGAGTGGGGTTGATATTTAATGTAGCCAACTCATGCACTCTGGTCCTTGCATTCTTTGGGAGAATAGAGCTGTTAAATTGTTTTGCTGCAGATGGATCAGTACTGTTGCTCGACTGGAGCTATTAAAGATTTCCTGCAGAAGTAATCCTGTTTACATGACTAACGCTACATTCCATCTCAAATTATCAGACTTAAAAATGCAGTATTATTATTACAGAAATAAAAACTAACCAGCAACATCTGCTTTCAAAGTGTTTAGCACTGGGTCACTCTGCAGCTCACAGAGATCCAGAGGGTCAGACTGTTTTTTTCCCAGAGTTGTTTTGCAACATGAAAAAGGAAAGGAAAAGAATAAAAAATGCCATGCAAACACACTTATTATATTTACCACAATATCATGGACAGTTTTTACAGACAATAGTGATAGATACATGGGAGATTTCTCAATGAGTAAAGTGTTGTTACTTATCAAATTCCATATTTTGCATTTATTAATATTTATACAGCGCCAACAAATTCTTCAGCACTCTACAATGGATGGATTAGCAGACATTAGGCATGTGCATGGGAAACATTTTCGGTTCGGCATTCCGAAATTCGGCACTTCGCCACTTCGGAACTTCTCTTGCAGCCGCTTGGTAGATAACTCCCTAATTCCCACGGTATTAGGGAGTTATTTACCAAAAGGCTGAAATATCTAAATTGGTCTTTCAGCCAAATTTACTAATACTAAGATTACTTAGTATTAGTAAATTATGCCCCTATATTAGTAAATTATGCGCTATACCGCGAGTAGGGGCATGTCTAGTAAACAGTGAGCAGCCTTTTTTAAAATGGGTCCCCCGCTTTTAAACTAAAAGGGGGGCCTATTGCCCCCCACAGCCCCAACCCCTGAGCGGCGGGAGGGGATCCTAAAGTAAAATAATGGGGGGGGGACCTAAATTAGAATAAGGGGGGCCTAATGTCCTCGCCCCCCTGCCCCCCCCTGAGCGGTGGGTGGGGGCCCTAAATACTAATTGGGGGGGCCCTAATGTCCTCACCCCCTGGTCCCCACCCCTGAGCAGTTGGTTGGGGCCCTAAATTAGAATGAGGGGGGGAACCTAATGTCCTTTCCCTGGCCCCCACTCCTGAGCGGTGGGTGGGGGCCATAAATACTAACTGGGGGGGGAACCTAATTAGTATTTAGGGCCCCCACCCACAGCTCAGGGGTGGGGGCCAGGGGGAGGACATTAAGTCCCCCCTAATTAGTATTTAGGGCCCCCACCCACCGCTCATGGGTGGGGGCCGGGGGGGGGCAATAGATCCTCCCTTCAGTTTAGAAGCCCCCACTCGTCTTTTTTGTTTAATAAACATGCCCCTACTTGCGGTATAGCGAGTAGGGGCATAATTTACTAATACTAAGTAACAGTGGCGTCTCTAGGATTCATTTTTAAGGGGGGCACATGGAGGGCCAGGGACAAAAGTAGGGGGGGCACATTTAACCCCGCCCTTGCTGCAGTTTGACCCCACCCCTGCCGCATGTTAAACCCTGCCCCCGACACAATGTGTTTTGAATAATCCCTAGTGGAGGATTCATTATTTTCCACCAGGGATTATTAAAAAACAAACACATTACCCTTGATACAGTGCCATAGTTGCCAACATTTGAAAAAAAAAATTCCATACACACACATACACATAGACTGTTGAGTACACACACACACACAGACACTGCTGAGTCCATACACCCCCACACACCCCCACAGACTGCTGAGTCCATACACACACACTGCTGAGTCCATACACATACACACACACACTCTGCTGAGTCCATACACACACACACACACTCTGCTGAGTCCATACACAAACACACACTCTGCTGAGTCCATACACAAACACAGACACACAGACTGGTGCACACACACACACACACACAGACTGCTGAGTCCACACACACACACACACACAGACTGCTGAGTCACACACACAGACTGCTGAGTCCATACACACACACACACACATACACAGACTGCTGAGTCCATACACACACACACACACACACACACACTGCTGAGTCCATACACACACACACTGCTGAGTCCATACACACACACAGACTGCTGAGTCCATGCACATACACACACTGCTGAGTCAATACACATACACACACACACACACACACTGCTGAGTCCATACACACACACACTGCTGAGTCCATACACACACAGAGACTGTTGAGTCTATACACACAGAGACTGCTGAGTCCATACACAGACTGCTATGCATGGGCGTAGGAACCCCCAAAAATCTGGGGGGGGTAGCATTTTTACTCGCCGGGTATATTCTTATTCCGTAAACTAGGAGTTGTTTATCCCATTGTACAGCGCTACGGAATTCGCAGTTGCTATATAAATGATTAAGTAATAACATTAAAGGGTCACTACAGGGAAGGGATTTTACTTACCCGGATACAGCGCCGGGATCCTCCTGATGCCGCGCAGCTTTGCCGCACATGCGCAGATACTTCATAGGGCGGCATTCATGTCTCAACTAGGAAGCACCTCTAGTGGCCATCTGAGTGTCCACTAGAGGTATTCCTCAGCAGTAATGTAAATACTGCCTTTTTACGAAATGGCAGTGCTTACATTAAAAAGCCTGCAAAGACATGCTATAGACACCAGAACTACTACGTTTAGCTGTTGTGGTTCTGGTGACTATAGTGTCCCTTGAATATAGAGAGGAAAAAAGAATCATCACAAATGTAAGAAATAAAATGTCTGTATCATTATTCTAACAATTATTTTAAAAAAAATAAAAAAATATGCATATTCCTACCTTAATTTTTAGCACGACATATGACACAAACATTTTTGTACTTTGCAGATTACTTTTTATATATTTTTTTATACATATACAGATTGTGTAATACTGCCCCTGACTAAGGGTGACCACATTTCCTAACTGTCATTCAGTGACACTGTCAGAAATGCATTCCATACTTTTTACTACCCGTCTCTACCCCTTCCATTTATATTAGAACCCCACCTACCCCTTCCAGGAATATTAGAACCACCCCTAGCCCTCCCATGAATATTAGAACCACCCCTACCCCTTCCATGCACAAAAGAACCCCACCTACCCCTTCCACGCATATTTACCCCCCTAACCTGCATATTAGTACCCCCCTAACCCCTTCCATGCATATTAGAACCCACCCTACTCCTTTCATTCATATTAGTAGCCCCCCTAAACCCTTCCAATTATTTTTCTACCTACCCCTCTCCTCCTATCCATATTAGTAGCCCCCCTAACCCTTTCCAATTATTTTTCTACCTACCCCTCCCCCCATCCATATTAGTAGCCCCCTAAACCATTCCAATTATTTTTCTACCTTTGTCCTCCCTTTTACCTGACATAGCAGGGGGACCTCTGGACGTCCGACAGGCGCAGTGTCAGACTGAGCGCCGGGTAGTCACGTGACACCCGACCAGGGCCGGTGCAAGGATTTTTGCCGACCTAGGCAAAATTAAAGTTTGCCGCCCCACCCCCCCATGTGACATTACAATGCCTCACCCATATGATCTGCCATGTTACCTAACGCCAGTGCTGGAGTGCCGCCGTGTTTACATTAAAAGGCCTGCAGAGACAGGCTAAAGACACCAGAACCACTACATTAAGCTGCAGTGGTTCTGGGGACTATAGTGTTTCTTTAATGTGAGGTAAATTAGAGATTAGTGCCACGAATAATATACTAGATTGCCTACTTACAACCAGATGAGGATGATGATGGCTCTAGCTGCAGTCTGGCTCCACTGGTCTGGTGTAGAACAGGCTCTCTGGAGGCGGTTTGTAACTGTGGTCACAAAAATCAATGTTCTGGGAGAACGGGAAGCAGCTCCATTTTTAGGGGGTCCTTTACACAGCTCAAGGTCTGGGTCCCAGGGTCCACCTTCATGTTCCACCAATGAGTTTGTTCACAGGGGGTATGTGTGTAAGGAATGCATTGTGTGAATCTGTGTTTGTATGTGTAAGGGCTACAAGTTGTGTTTCTGTGTATGTACGGGATGCAGTGTGTGCGTGTGTAAGGGGTGCATTGAGTGTGTGTAAGGGGTGCATTGAGTGTGTGTAAGGAATGCATTGTGTGTTTCTGTGTGTGTAAGGGATGCATTGTGTGTACTGGTTGCATTGCTTGTGTGTGTGTGTCTAATTCATTGTGTGTGTAATGCATTGTGTGTTTTTCTGTGTGCAAGGGGTGCATTGTCTTTGTGTGTAAGGGGTGCATTGTGTGTGTGTGTGTGTGTGTGTGATGGATGTCAATCTCTCCTCCTGCCTTGTCACTCTCTTCTCCCCCCTCTCCCTCCCTTGTCACTCTCTTCTCCCCCCTCCCTCCTTTGTCACTCTCTTCTCCCCCTCTCCCTCCCTTGTCACTCTCTTCTACCCTCCTCCCTTGTCACTCTCTTCTCACCCTGTTGTCACTCTCTTCTCCCCTCCCCCTCCCGTCAATTCCCCTCCCTGTCAATTTCTTTCTCCCTCCCTGTCAATTTCTTTCTCCCCCCATCCCTGTCAATTTCTTCCTCCCATCCCATCCCTGTCAATTTCTTCCTTCCATCCCATCCCTGTCAATTTCTTTCTCCCACCCCCTGGCAATTTCTTCCTCCCC